ACCACCATTAGATGCGTCTTGACAAGCTTTACAAAAGTCTCTTAAGCAAGAAAGATAATTAACTTAGTATGAAAAAAGTTTATCTTGGGTAAATGCCACATTTGCACTATAGTAAATTTATATAATAATCTGAGTCACATTTTACTAAAATCACACACCAGTTGACTAGAGAATCATTAATTAAATTTACTTTCTGACCTTTCTAACAACTCTGGATAGCTCCGTTGCCTAAGGGTTCCCAGGCCAAGTCCTGTAAAGTAGCACTATATTTATCCATAAATAAACATGTGGTTGCATTTTGCTAATTCGTCTGAATTTGAGAAGTAAACAATGCCGATCTTTTGAAGAGGGTAAGCCAACTCCCCTACTTTTTGTAAAAAATTTTGGAAGACTAGCAGAAAAGCGGAAATGAGTAAGAGAGGAGTCACTTGGCCAAGTAAAAGAGTGTGGCTTAAGAATAGCAAGTTCTTTACTATTCTCTGGTTAATTCACAACAGATTACTTCATCAACAGAGAAAAACTATAATTTTTATCAAAATTTCATATACAAGGGCACACTTCTTCAGCCAGTTATCTTGTATAAAGACATTTTTGGCTTGCATGTCGAATATATAAAGAAGTTTTTATAAAGTACAAAAGGTTGATCTTTATAAAAACTGCACTGTTGTCTAACCACTACAGATACTATTCTATACTCTAGTATCCAAACTTGACTTTTCTTTTATAAGAAATTTTGGTCCAAGTAATTGTCAAAAAGAGTTGTAATTTAAATGGTTTAGCTTTACAACTTTTAATTAATTGACAAAGTTTAATTAATTTAGTACAAAATAAAGTTTTTTATTTTTTTTTTGTTAATTTAGCAATTATATAAATATTTTATTAGATTTAAATACTAAATCTATTTTATATCTATTTCATACAAATATGATTTCATAATCATTTAACCAGATTTAAATTACAAGTATTAGCTAACTTGGCTCTTTGCAACAAATATACAAATTATTTATATTTAATCTGCTATAGTAAACTTTTTCTTTATACTAATTGTAAAGATTATGATAAATATTAGATTATAGTAAATATTTTGGTCAAATTTATAAGTTAGCTAGCCTGAATTAACTTTAGAGTTAGAGTTAGAGTTCCTGTTATAGTTAAAGTTAAAGTTTTTTTATTTTATATAAAGTACTCTAAATTCAATTTATATATAATATTTACTATAATTTGATTTTTTTTTTTGTTATTAAGGGGACCTCTTTGGCCTAAAAAACATTTTATCAGAATGTAAACGGAGTTTTATAATGTAGTTACAACGATGATACATCAAGCTACACATGCTCCTTTTGAGTGCCTAATTTAAGTAGTCTGCCTGAAGGTTCTACACTATCTGCCATACCTGCACCCCAACTAGGGGGTACCCATTTAAACTATCTGGTTCCAACTACCTTCATCATAACTCTAATTCAAGGGTATTACTCACCATATAGTAGTAGGCTTTGTATCTACCCTATTGGAATTAGCACCCTACCTTAGAACTTACTAACTTAAGCTAATCTATCCTCAAGATAAACCTAACAGAGCAGTACATGTCTCACACATGTATTTGCCTGCATATTCTGTAATGGCTTCCTAATTAGTACATATTAACCTGCTGTTCTGTATTCATATTTCATGCCACTTTTTGGAGTGCTGTCGCTCTACAGACGTTTCTCAAGCACCAACCTTTCTAATTAGGCACCCATTACATACACCTTGCTCTTATCCGATTCACAACAACTCTAGTACCCATATTTGGACCATCTTCTTACTTGGATTCTTTATTGGTCCCTCCCTTACTTCCAGCCAGCAACCTGGACAGGTCGGTCTGCCCAGGCTTTAGATGCCTAAAAGATGCCCTCCATTTGGTCTATACTTTCAGAGTATATATTCTTTTTCTTCAGTGTGTCAGCCCAGCAGTTCGGCTAGTGTGTCCTCCCACTTAAGGACCTGATCACTTGGTTCTCCAATTTTAGGCCCCAATTCAAATTCAGCCCTCCTGTGGTACCATCAAAAATCACTGCTACTTTCAAATTCAGGACTTGCCAAATGGGCTTTTGGTTATTCCAGTTCCTCAGATTTATTGCGTCAAAGCTCCCATAACTAGATAGTGTAACCAAGATTACAAATTTAGTTCTAGATCCAACTGATAATCAACAACTGTAAATCATAGCACAGGCTATTTTTCAAAATTCATCATCTATAAGATTTGAACTTTAGACCTGCTACTTGGAGAGAGTAATGACTAAACCACTACACTAAGTCGCCACACCCCTATTTATTATAATTTGATATTTATTATAATCTCTAATACTGTAATAAAAATTATAATATCATAGTATTATAGTAGTTAGTTTATAGCATATAACTATTTTTTTAGCACATAACAATTACCCCTTTATTTGTATATTATAATTAGTTAACTTATCTCATATAGAAGTACTGTGGCCTATATATAGTCTATGATTTATGCATATGTATTTACAAGGCCTATGTACTTTATACAACCTACACATCTTCTATAAAGTTTATACAACTTATACAACTTAGACAATCCAATTATTTTTAGAGAACCTATTAATTTTTCTCTAAAACATGTATTTAAAAGCATTATTTTCGTCTTTTTGTAATAACAAGTTTTTAAGTTCGATATATAAAATTCCTAGTTCTTTATTAAATAAATATATAATTATATAAATAATACAAAAACAATCTTTGTCCAAATGTTCTCCGTGTAAAACCCATCCCTTCAGTATATATTGTAATCTAATTCTTGGTATTCTCAATAGAATATCTAGAATTTACATCATATTTGGCAACAATAACAGAATCTACTGGTTGCCTACATAAAGGAATTCAGCAAAGAATTATCATATTTATTTCTAAAATGTCTTGAATCATTCCTCCGATCTCTAAACTAGTCATACCCCAATTCTATCATGTCCTACCTGTCCTCCTACACTAATTTTCCAACCAATATATTCATATATGTGCATTCCCGAATGCTTCCTTATTAATTCTGCATACTTGCTACATATAATGCCATTAACTTAATGAAATATTAGTAGAATAAAATTTAAAGAAAACAAAGAAAGCAAAACTACATATAATGTAAAAGAATATATAGCTTCCGAATTCCTGTACTCTATATCACATAGTACTCATGTCTATCTTCAACTAATCAAAGCCAAAGACCTCATGTTTTATGGCCTACTCTTCTCTACTTATATCTTGAAGTTCTTTTAAAATAGAAAGGCATTAGTAAAGAAAAAAAAAAAAAGCAGAAACAGAAACAAAGACATATATATAGTAAAAGAATATGTTTCTATATCCTATCTATTCTAATATGGCCCAACAATACTTAAACCGATTCTGAATTCGTTATGCTGCACTATTGTTCTTTACCAAATCGTTTCCAAATAAAATTAAAAAAATTAGACTAGAGTTCTAAATAAAGAAAGACTCTATATAACTGATACATTAATATTTACCAATACACCCTGTATTGCAGTTTTTAGTCTCAGTAAAAACTAAAGGCCCCTCATGCTTAAGTATCTAAACCGGTTCCTTACAAAGTCTTCTTAAAGCAAAAAGCATTTCATCCAATTTTACATAGTCCTTATAAGATAAAGGTGACTAGTCAAAAAAGAATAAACCCAGCAATTTATATTCCAAGCCGGTATCGAAAATTTGAAAACCTCAATAAAAAAAAAGAGAGAGGTTAATAATAAAGTTAAAAAAAAAAAAAAAAAAACTATATAGCTCTTAATTTGACTTATAATTCTCTTACCTGGAAATTAAGACTCTTCTTAAATAGTTACTAGAAAGTACCTTAGTAACATACTTGAACCAAGACTCTTGCAATGCTCATCATAACTGGAGAAAGAGGCTTGTCAAGAAACTTCGGGTTCAAGAATCTTCGCCAGCAAGAAAAGATCCAAATGACATCATATTTTGAAGTTTTTTTAATGCCGAAAAGGAAGATTTTAAATTCCTGGACCTAAAAGAATAAACCATGAAAAGTGTAACAAGGAATGTAGAAAGTAAAAACTAAAAGACATGTAGAAACTAATCTAAATATAAGAACCAGAAGAACTAGAATAAAGACTAAATCAGTACAGAATAAATAAGACTTTGAAAAATCACGAATGTGTTAAAACTGCGACAGATCTACTCTAGTACTTTATAAGAAGGTCCAAGCTTGGAAGTAGGCACCGAAAGATAAAAGAAAAAGCCCTACACATCAAAAAGGTACTCTAACAATAAAAGATCTGTTCTGAAGTGAAATTCAAAACTGAAAAAGAAGAGATCTGTATTATGCTCATGAATCTCGTGTCGTGTACATTCAAAATCAGTAAAAGATCTTGAACAAGTCCATTCGCTATAGAGGTGTCTTTATAAAACCAAAGATGAAATACAAACAAAAACTTTACTTTGAAAGACATGCCAGAAGTGAAGGATCCACAATAGATTCTTCCAACACCTTATAGAAAGGTCCAAGCATGAAAGAATCTAGCATGATCTTAGCCGAAAGAAGTCCAAAGGCTCTGGGAAAGTGGAAGACCGAAAGTGAAAGAAATAGAAGTGTAGACCGAAAGTCGAAAGTATGGAGGTGTCAAAAGGTATATTTAATTAAAAAAAAAAAAAAGAGCATAAAATAGAAAAAGGGAATAAAAGAAGAAAGATAAAGATTAGTAGATAATCAACGTATATATATATGTAATGATCATATAGGCGACATCACAAACATCTAAAATCGCCAGAACAAACAAAAATTTTACTTTCTTGGCCTTTAGAAAGTCTCAGAAGTCCCGATCTGAAGGAATAACAATCTAAAAAGACCTTAAACAAGCTAAAGAAAATTAACAAAAGAAATATAAGTATAAAAAGAAAAGACTTAATATTTAACTTTGTCTCTAAGTTCTAAAACCTGGATTGCAATAATTTTTTTTAATGACTTTTATTTTATTTTTATTTTTTTTTATTCTTTGATGATTATGTATTATCCTTTATAATATTACTACTTGCCTTTATTTTTGTCTATAGCATGTGGTTTATTTTTTTGTTTTTGTTTTTTTTTTATTAAATTAAAAAAAAATACACAATTGTTTTATTTCCCTAGTTTAGTAAGAAAATTTCTAAAGTTATAATTTCAAGCTAGGAAGATTCTATCATGTACTCTTAAACATTAATGCTTGAAAAGTTCTACTACATACACATTAATGATAATTGTAATTTTTCTTTATTTGTAACTTTATTTTTATGTTATTTTTATTTTTATTTTAACTTAAATTTTTAACAGAGAGTGAGGAGGTGATATCATCCTAGTTACGGATAAACCAAGGCACCTAAAACCCATGAATTATAAATTTTAGCATAGTTATTATTATTATTATTATTTTTTATATTAGAGATAAATTTTTATTATATTTATTTTTCTTACTTATTTTAGCTCAGAGGATTTCACTTTTTTAAAGAGGTAAATATGTGATAAAAATTATAGTATCATAGTATTATAGTAGTTAATTTATAGCAGTGACTATTTTTCTAGCACATGACAATTATCTTTTTTATTTGTATATTATAATTAGTTAACAGTTTATGATTTATGCATATATATTTACAAGGCCTATGCACTTTATACAACTCACACATCTCCTGTAAGGTTTATACAACCTATACAACTCAGACAACCCAATTATTTTTTAGAGAACCTATTAGATTTCTTTTACTTTTTCTCTAAAACATGTATTTAATTAATAATCCATTTGTCACCTGGAGGGGATCTGCAAAATTTTATAAATAAAGTTTACTATTGACCCAAATGTGGCAGTGCTACATCTAAAACTTTTTTTTGTCAATTAATTGAAAGTTGCAGAGCTCATCAAGATGCATCTAATAGTGTAAGAGCATCAAAATCAGCCTAGTAGTTCTTGAAATATTTTAAAAAATGTTTTGTGCACATATAAAATTCCTTTAAAAAAGAAGACTTTTTTAAAGAAATTTTATATGTGTACAAGACGTTTTTTAAAGATATCTCAAGAATCACCAAGCCAATTTTGATGCTCTTACACTATTAGGTACATCTTGATAAGCTCTACAACTTTCAATTAATTGACAAGATTGATTGACTTAGTAAAAAAAAAGGTTTTAGATGTAGCACTGCCACATTTGAGTTAATAGTAAACTTTACTTATAAAATTTTGCAGATCCCCTCCAGGTGACAAATGGATTATCAATTAAAGACATTATTTTTGTCTCTTTGTAATAACAAATTCTTAAGTTTGATATATATATATATATATATTTTAGCGATTATGCTATATGCCCATACTTTATTGATCATTAATTTAATCTGAAGAAAAAAGAATATATTCAAAGATACAGGTATATAACTCACCTGATTACCTATATAGAATACCTAAATATTTATATACCTGTGTACGACTTGCCAAAGATGATTTTAATCTTCCCAGTTTGGTTCAACCTATATCAAGCTAACCCACCCCGGTTTACTGACTTGGTTCATCAGCTCATTATAACTGCCTTCTTTTTCAACCTTCTTATCTAGCCTCCTAGATAGAAGAATTTTACTAAAGAACAATGGGAAATTTATGAAATAAAAGAAATAGTAAAAAAGGAAGAAAATCTAAACTAAATAAAAACAAAAAACAAACAAAAGAAAAAAAAAAAAAAAAAAAAAAAAAAAAAAATAAAAAAAAAAAAAATAAAAAATAAAAAAAAAAAAAAAATAAAAAATAAAAAATAAAAATAAAAAAATAAAAAATAAAAAAAATAAAAAAATATTAAAAAAAATAAAAAAATAAAAAAAATAAAAATAATAAAAATAATAAAAATAAAAAATAAAAAAAATAAAAAATAAAAAAAAAATAAAAAAATAAAAAAAATAAATAAAAATAAATAAAAAAATAAAAATAAAAAAATAAAAATAAAAAAATAAAAATAAAAAAATAAAATAAAAAATAAAAAAATAAAAAAAATTCTTCTAGACATTTTTAGCTAAAAATATATAACTATATATCTCCAGTATATTAAAGTGATTATATTATATGATAAACTAATACTATATATAATATTTCTGATGTCAAATCAGAAATCAAATCAGAAAATTAAATCAGAACAATAGTTTATTTAAAAATTTCAAATTAAACTGCAAATTAAGCAAAATACTAAAATTATAAAGTTTCTATATTACAACTATTTTTAAAGTTTTACCTCAATCTGAACTATTAAAAAAAAATTAAGTTTAATAAAATGATTAAAATTTTATAGTGATTTGTTATATTTTGTTTTACAATTGTGATCTAAAGTTCTTTTTAAAAAGCTTAGAGATGATTGAGTTATGTCTTGTATTTAAAAATGAGATCTATAATTTAGATGAAGTTATATTAGCTTTGTATTGAGAATAATCATAATTTCTATAGTAAATTGCTATAAAAAATTTTATTATACTTGCCAACTATTTTGGTAACATGAGTAATTTGGGCAAAATTATATAGTAAATTGCTACTTTATCATATTTGCCAACTATTGTATTAATATAAGTAATTTAGGAGAATTATATTATTTTGTATTGAAATAATAGTGATTTGCTGTAAAGAATTCTGGTTTACTATACTTAAATGGCATCTATAAATAATATTATGTACCCCTATATAGTAGCTTTTAACCTTCTCTAGACTATATAAAAATTTTTTTTAAATCCATATATTTATATATATAATTTTACAAATACTTGTCTATCTTGTGATTTAGAGACCCAATATAAATAATTTTGATACCAATCGATTTATCTTGATAAGACGAATACAATAATGCCAAATTTATTTAATTCAAATTACTGGATCTAAAAATATTAGCAAAAAACTATTAATTTATAGTAATTTTATATAAAAAGATATAACTAATAGTATTTTGTCAAAAACACTTTTTCTAACGATTACTAAAACCAAATTTTTCCACTAATAGAAAAATAAAATTTTTTGTTGGAGAGTCATGGCCTATGTTACAGTTTGTTTAGAGATCAATGTTGCTATGCAGAACTCCTCTAAAGAGACATTTAGCATGCAAGCCAAAAGCATTATTAGACAAGATGACTAGCAAGAAGTGCTCTTGTATAAAAAATCTTGGTAAAGTGTGGGAAAAGAGCTCACTTTCGTCGACGAAGTTTTTAAATTATTACTTCAAAGAAAAACACAGGGAAAACAGCAAAATTTTTTTTTCTAAAGCCACACTCTTTCTTTTGTTTTGGTGGCTCTTCTCTTTCTTTTTTTTTGCCCTTCTGTCGGTCTTTCAAAATTTTCTACAAAAAGTGGAGATTTGGCTTACCCCTTTCAAAAGATCAGCATTGTTTACTTTCCAAATTCGGATAAACTCAGTAGAATGTAACCACGTGACTTGTCTGGACAGATCCAGGATGTAGGTGAGATTTTTCGGGTCATGTGATTAATCGATCTCCGATCTTATCTCGGAATCACGTAACCATGTCGGCTCTTTTCTGTTACACGAAT